TTCCAACCAATAGAAATTAGTTTTGTTTATCTAAGGCATTAGAAAAATCAATGTGTCAAGTGACGATTTTGAATTCACATTTTAATAAAATTTAACTACTTGATTCTAAAATCGATTCATTCTTTTCTCCTTGTACGTTGATCACATACGAGTTTAAAATACCTTAGATAAATAAAAATACAGGAATAACAAAGTTCGTACCCTCACATAGACAAACTCGGCTCGTCGTAGTTTGTAGAAAATTATTAATACTATCGTTATTATTAATATCATAATTATTATTATTATTTATCGCAACAACAAAAAGAAGAATATCCCTTCGTAATGTAGAGAAAAAGAAACATTTGGATAAAAACTGTCCTTTTAACAACAAATTATCGACTAGTGCAAATATCGCCAACTGGTTATCTTAGCAATGAACAAATTATCGCAGCATCAGGTTAAAACGATACGCAATCAACTAATAAATGCTATTACAATAAAATTCAATAGTTTTTTCTTATTTATTTTTTTCTTATTTTTATTTCATTACGTTTAATAAATTCTAAATATCACTGTACTTGGGGGGGGGGGGTACTGACCCTATTCGCGAAATAATCGTGTGCAATGCAATTGACATACTTTTTCGATTATTGCACTTAGAATCATGTTTTTCTTTTTTTTCTTTTCCTCCCTTTTTTCTGCCACATGAAACATCAATGATACATGCGAGAGACCAATGACACTTGTACTCGAAATCGTACACGTATTGAGAACTGTCGCAATGATAGCAAAACTTTTGGACACGACCAGAAACGTATACCCAATATTTTCCTCCAATCTAATAAAACGATTCAAAGAAGAAAAAAACGAAAACTGTGTTTTGAAATAAAACAAGTATACAAAAATCTCCATACGAAACATATCACTGGTAACTCGTTTGTGATTTTCATTGGCAAATTTCTTTGATTGCACCATTTTTATACCCACCATCGTAGCCGATAGGCTCATGCTTTAGCACACCAAGCCAACGAAACATATTTTAATCGCTGGTCAGTCATCGACTGGCCCAATTCATTTCTCGTAGCAGCCCAACGTCACTTTTTACCAACAAAAAACGCTCGTCTCCCATTTCTGTAATAAAAATGAAAAAAAAAAGGAGGCATGCGTTGCATGACATCTACTACTGTAATACTGATTGTAAAAGCGTTTTGACTTCTTATATAGGTACAAAATGACGCTGGATCGTGCAACGCGACGTATCACTGTGCGTCATCGAGAGAAGCTCGCATTTTTCCTCCTCACAAGTATACTAATGTATTTACATGTTATCAACACCGGCGTCTCCTGAGCACATTTTTTCACCAGTTCAACGCACCATGTGCAATCTTTTTACTTTTTCTCCTTTATTTTCACCTTTACCCCTATTCATCATGCTATATATTATAGAGAATTTTGCATTTTTTTTGCCTCCCTCTTTAAGATGTTGTCAATGATGTTGAAATGGTTATTACGTCGGTGCATATTCAATGATTATTAATAATTACAGGCCTCGCACCGGAAGATGCATCAGTAGCCTCGACAGATAAACAGCGTTAAGGTGTATGTGAGAGTAAAATAAAATAATAAATGGTTTTTAATCGTCGAGTTGTCGTAAAACAGCGTTTTATCAGTATGATCAAACAATTTATCGTAGGCTAGATGTGTAATAATGAAAATATGTCGGTTTATTTTTTCATCGGAAAAAGAATAATCAACATGAATCGTATATTTTTAATGCATTTATTTATTTTTATGATGTATTTACGTACTCAGTTCATTCAACAACGATACAGTGACAAGGTTTTGCCATTTTTATTTATCTTAAAAACATTAATACATAAGTCACGGTGCAAGATGAATAAAACAGCTGAAACATATAAATGATTCTTTTTTTTTTTTTTTTTTTTTTTTTTTTTTTTTTTTTTTTTTTTTTT